GTCTCACTCTATCACTCAGACTGGAGTGCAGTGGCTGCTCTCGGCCACTGCAGCCTCAACCTGCTGGGCTCCAGCGATCCTTCTGCCCTGGCCTTCCAAGCAGCTAGGACGCTACCACGCCCGGCTAATTTTGTGTGACTTATTGTAGAGATGAGGTCTCGCCTGCCCAGGCGGGTCTCAAACCCGCCGGCTCAGGCGATCCACTCACCTCAGCCTCCCTAAGGCACGGGATTACAGGTTGAGCCACTGAGCCCGGCTAAAGCCTACTTTTTAAGCACTAATTTACAGCAGGTTAGTAAAGATTTTCCACAAGGAGAGCTTGAATCAATGCTACAACCCAGCATGGTTCTTGAACAGAGCAGGAAGAAGAATGTCTGGGACTCAGTGATGCAAGAACTCGAGGGTCTGAGTCAACAGTTGGACGCAAAGCACAACCGAAAGGTAAACAAATAGCAGAGGCGCCCTTCCTGAGGGAGGCTGGGACTGGTAACACCACTGCTCCAGCAAGATTGGCAGGCACTGAAAGAGCAGGAGCAGGAGGAAAACAAACATGGAGAAATGAGGATCCCTGAACAACGGAATTAGTGGGATGAGCGTCCACAGCCCAGCCTAGAAGCACAGTTGCCATGCTTCATGCCAAATTACTCCTCCATTCATTCAAATTCATTCAAATACCTGCCGGTAGAACTAATACCAGCAATGATTAGAGCCATCATTTGTGGCTCTAATTTTCTGTGCACTTGGAAGGCAGCAGAGTTGTTACGAGTGTAGATTGTAGCATCGGGCGACTTGGTTTGAATGCTGACTCTGCTACTCACTCACTGTGTGATCTTGGGCAAGTAACCACCTCTCTAAGCTCAGTTTCTTCGTCTGTAAACTGGGCTTAGTAAGAGTTCCCTCTCTATAGGCTGTCATGAGGGTTGAGATAATGCTTAAGCCATGTTTATCAAAGTACATGATACCTCATAAACACTTAACAAATGCTAACAGCTATGATGTTGATGACAGTGATAATGATAATGAAGATAGCCACACATTTTACAAACACAATGTAATCATTATGGCAACCCCGTAAAGGAGGCCACAAGGCTAGTAAGTGGCAGAGCTGGATTTTACTTAATTTTTTTCTTTTTTATCAAGGGAGAGGTTCCTCTACGAGCCAGAAATTAAACCCAGGTCGTTTCCTCAAACCTAGGTTGGAGATCCCTGGATAAATAACGTACACGAAATATTAAACTCTGTTTAAATCCTCTCCCAGTATGTTTTAGGGAAACCCAAGTAAGAAAGATGCAGTCTCCTCTCTGTTAAATAATGGGAACTGAAAAGCCCACAGTAGGTATGAACTCAGTGCCTTCCGGGGTTCCACTTGGAGTGAGGAGAGAAGCCAGCATGGTGTCCCCTGCCCCCATCCTTCTGTCCACGCTGGCATCACTCCAGCAGGGAGGAGGTGTCTTGTTTGGTTAAAACGAGCTGCAGCTGCTCCAGAAATTAATCCTGCTGATCAGACTGCCAAGTAGTTCTGAGAGTTTCCCTTCTATTCACATAGATTTGTGGGGAAAGGTAAAAAATTTCAGTTGGTAGGAGTCTGTCCGGAGCAGGTTGGCTATTGGGCCTACCTCCTGTTTTTGTGAATAAAGTTTTATTAGGATACAGCCACGCCCATCTGTTTATGTATCACCTATGGCTGCTCTCGTGCTATGGCGGCAGAGTTGAGTAGCACAACAGGGACTATACGGCCACAGAGCCTAAAATAATTACTATTCAGTTCTTTATAGAAAATGTGCACTGACCTGGGCTGAAGCCTTGAGCAGAGGTGACAAGGAGTGCACACTTGTGACAGGCTGGGCTCGGGAGCTGCCTCTTGCTCAAAGATCAGTTTAGCAGTGGCCAGAAGGGAAAGCTCAAGCCTTGAAGAGGCACATACTTCAGTAAGTAGTTACTGAGCACCTACTGTCTACACCAGATACGGTGGCAGAGAAACTGTGCGGATATGTAATATGGCATCAGGGAGAAACGAATGCTATAAACAACCAAGCAGGGTGTGGAGGTCTGTTATGAACACAGGGACAGAGAAGATCTCTCTGAGGAGATAACTGCTGTGGAATCTGGGGTAAGTGTTCCAGTTAGAGGAGAAGCAGGGACGAGTGCCGAGACTGGTACTGCCGGAGCTTGGGGAGAGGGTGTGGTGGCAGGAGATGTCAAGAAGGCAGCCAAGGGCTGGACCCTGCACAGCCAGACCTGCCATGGGGGGATTGGGATTTCATGACGAGTGGGAAGGGAAGTTACTGGAAGGTTGACAACAGGGAAGCAGCATAATCTGATGCTGATCTCACCAGGCTGCTCTAGCTTCCGGGTGGTGTGTAGACAGACTGCGGAAGGCCAAGGTGGAGGCAGGAAGACTGGTGAGGAGGACAGCATAGTAGATGAGGGACAATGGGAGCTGGGAGCTAGCTACAGCAAGCAGGACAGGAGAAGGGGTCAGATTCAGGATCTGAGGTGGTGCCCAGGGATTTGTCAATGGAGCGTGAGAGAAGGGGAGGAGCCATCGCCTGTCAGTCTGAGCGGCTGAATGGATCCGGTGGAGTTCTGCTCTGATAAGCGTGGTGAGCTCAGAACCCGTCAGATGTCTAGGGAGACGTGGAGGCAATGGTTGCAAAAATGGGTCTGGAGTTCGGGGACTGTCAGTGCCATCAGGCCTAGATGGCACAGGAAGCCCGGGAGCGATGAACTCATCTCGGGAGCGCAGCAAGTGAGTGTCTGAGCACCATGCCTCCCAGACTCCAGGGCTAGGCCAAGCATCCTCACCACATGGCACAACATTCCCAGGCCACTTCCCAGATCAGCTCAATCAGAACCCTGGAGGCAGAGCCCAGGAACCAGCATTTCTTTTGAACATTCCTGGGCAATCCTAATGCCCATGCTGGGCTGTGGACCACTGCTTTATTTATTTATTTTTTTTGAGTTGGAGTCTCACTCTGTCCCCCAGACTGGAGTGCAGTGGCACGCTCCCAACCACTGCAGCCTCAACCTGCTGGGCTCCGGTTATCCTCCCGCCTCAGCCTTCCAAGTAGCTGGAGCTACAGGCGCACGCTACCACGCCCAGCTAATTTTTTATTTATTGTAGAGATGAGGTCTTGCCAAGTTGCCCAGGCAGGTTTCGAACCTGTGGGCTCTGGCCATCCACTCACCTCGGCCTCCCAAAGCGCTGGGATTTCAGGCTGAGCCACCCAGCCTGGCCCGGATCACTGCTTTAGACTGTGAAGGCGCAGCCAGCGAAGCAAACAGAAAGCCTGGACAGTACGTGCTCCAAAAGCAAAGCAAGGAAGTGTCCTGAGGGAGGGCATCGTCAGGTGGTCAGGGTCACGGTAGCCAAGGGCCCAAAAGGAGGTGTCAGGACCTGAAGAAAGCAATGTGGGTGCAATATGGGTACAGTGGAAGGCTGAGGCAGAAGGATCGCCGGAGCCCAGCCGGTCAAGGCTGCAGTGACTGTGAGCATACCACTGCACTCCAACCTGGATGACAGAGTAAGACTCCAACTCAAAAAAAAAAAAAAAAGGTATGATGGTGGTATTAGGTCATGTGAGAAAAGCATTCTCATCTTTGAGCAATACATACTGAAATATTTATGGATGCCTGGAAATCAGTTTCATCATAATACAGAAATGGGGATACAGACAGTCCAAGTGATGACAGTTGGACATGGACTTCAGTGTACCATTCTGCCTGCTTTTTGTCAGAAGAGAGAGGAGAGGAGGAAGAACTGGAGAGAGGGGAAGGAAGGAGGGGGAGGAAGGGAGGGAAGGAGGAAAAAAGAAAGGAAGGAGAGAAGGAATGAAAGAAAGGGAGGAAGGAATGAAAGAAAGGGAGGGAGGAAGACGAGGGGGTGGGTGGGAAGGTGGAAAGAAAGGAGGGCGGGAGGGAGGGCGGGGAGGCAGCAGATACAGAAAACCCCTTTGATGGGTATGGCCAAAAGGGTGGCAGGAAAACAGGGGTGG